CTCACGACTCGTTTGTGAGATGGCGGAGCAGTTAGGCCTGGGAAAGCTTAACCTCGCCGCGCACCTGATAGCAGTCGGCCGTGAAACTGCGATTCCGGCCGGGAGCCGTCCGCCCGGCCTGGGGTTACCGAGGGGGCGGCGGAGAGCTGAGGCAGGGTGCGTCCGTCCCCCGCCAAGGAGCCGCAACAGGTCGAGCCAGCGCGGGGATCGGGAGAAGAGCCGAGGCTCTGACGTGAGCTACGAACGAGGGACCTCGGAGACGCAACCCACAGTTTTGGTTACCCCTGCCACTGAATTTGACCGCAGGGTCCAGAGTTCGAGTGCAGACGGTAGCAAGATTTTAGACACTAGATTGGTATATCTAATACAGCAGCTGTCGGGAGGACAATTTTAACTGACGGATGATCTGATCGGCAGTTTTCCACAGTTTCACCAATCAATACCAGCGGTACCCTATCAAACAGGCCACGGACCGAGTGCGATCTTTCCTTCTTCTTGATTGTCCTCTTATCTCTGATTATTCACTCCCACTTTCATTTTCTTTGAACATTCACTATACTAATGAGATTGATTAGCAGTTGACGTGACCAGGATCGTTAATCAATCAATCTAGGAAAGAAGCACTGCCGAAGGGGTAGGCACAGAAAGCAGAGGATCGACGGACGTGTTATAAGTGGCAGTGGTGGGAAGTGCGCAGAAGGGGCGGGGATGAGGCAGTAGAAGATTGGATTGCGGGAAGTCCGTGGGCGAGGTGAAAGTGAAGTGAGTGTGCGAAGAGATGGGAAGTAGAGGCTGCGGCGAGAGATAGATGAAAAACTGATGTTAGTTCTGCGAATAGGAGCCTGTGATTAATGTGGAAGCTGCACATTTTGTCAAGATGAAAAAACAGCATAGAAATGTCTTGCATTAATGATTACGAAACGCAATCCTTGTTAATATGCCACGTGTTTCGATTGTGTTGGTCCCGTTTCATGGTTGTAAAGGATATTCTGTACTGTTGTTTGACCAATCTTGTTGAACACTTATCATTTGTGTACAATGGTATAAATGTATGATAATACAAAATAAATTGCATGTACTTTAAGAAAAAATGGAACAAGCAGTCGACAGATTTATCTAGTAACTGTAAATCGGAAATCAATTTTTAATATGAAATACATTATTTCATGGTTTTTCAGTAAACAACGTATGTCAATAACGTGTGTTGTGCATCAATATATTTAACTGATCATAATTGGTAATACAAGAATGTCTGTTGAATAGATTGTGTTGTAAATTATGTATTATGACAGGAAATAACACAAATCTGAAAAAAATAAATATATTACATTAAGAATTCAATATAACTGCGATCTTATAAGCAAAATTTAGACACATCCGGGGATATCGGGGCAGGTCTCCAAAATGATCAGAGCAGTCGAGGTATGTTCAATACGACGACGGTGAAATCATGATCTCAAATTGGTTTTAGAGCTTGGAGAGTAATATAAACCTTCATTCAAGCTCTTGATTTTCCTGTGTCTGCTTTTAGGTTTGAGTTCACTTGTTAACTTACCGGCCACACTTGATTAAAAAAATCTCGTTCGGGACTGGTCGGCACTTTTCACTTGTGGTTGGTTATCAAAATGTCAGTTACCCCTATCGTCTGATAACTATGTCTGCAAAATAAAACTATTTCTCTAATATTATTAGTCACATCTAGGGCAAAAGCACATGGTCACAATTAACAAAATTGTCTGTATTGTCAAAATTCATGAGCTGTAGTACTAAATTCGTTTTGGGAATGCCAATGAAATGTTACCAAACCTCCTTTACCTAAAAATAGTCAATTTTTTATTTATTCTCGATTTTGATCCGGTAATGACCATTTAAACATTTTATAATTATTGGAGGTCATATTTAACTCGGTAATGGCCAAACAATATTCTACCCCTGAACGTGTCTGACACCACAAATTACAAGAAAGTAGCCTATATGTTACATTGTTCCGATGCCAATATTAATGTTTTCAGCTTATTATCTAAATATAAAACAAACTAATCTTCGTTGTAATCAGCATCATTAGTAAGCATAGGCTCCGTGTTCGACAAGTTTGGAGCCAGTGAGGCGCTTTGTCTCTCATTTTACACATTTTCAACTCGAAGTGTGCACTATTGGATACATTTGGCACAATTGGTGTCATCACCCACGTACTTTCAATTTCGTCAAATAAAAATTCGTGTAATTTCTGACACGTTTTCAAAGGCAGACAATCCCCTCCATCGTTCCTCTCACGATTAGCACGACTTGCACTCCGCGAACGTGAAGGGGCTCTTTCAGGAGGGAGCTCTTTGTTATTGACCGGGCATGCGTAGTTGTTTTTTTTTAAAAATTATCATTCATTACTTTTTAAAGATTTATTTTCATTCGTTTTGCAGCGTAAACCTGAATCATTGTCTTGTTCATCTTTCGCACGTTTAAGTTCTCTTTAGGAAGAAACATGAGTTTACTTAATCCATGTTTTAAAAAAGACTAGAAATTTTTTCATTAAAAAGTTTATTAAGAAGTAAATTTTTCATTAAGAAGTAAAAGAGTATCAATTTTAAAGACAGTTTTTTAAAATGTAATAATTAATATAATAGTTATTAAATATTAATATTAAAACCTGAAATTCGGTTTACCTCAGGGCTAAATTTTAAGAATATGGGAATCGGAGCCTCTTAGTTAACTTTAAAATAACAAGCAGAACAGGTTTGTTAACTTAGTAAACTTAAAAATAATATTTCTCAGAGAACTGATATATTAGCAAGTCACAAAAAATATACCCATAAACCGACTGACCAATAGTATATTGAACAAAAAAAATGAACCCCTTTTCACTTCAAAAAAACAAAAAACTTCTTGACAAGAATATTTTTAGTTCAGCAAACACCAACACTCAATATTAGATTAATATATCACTAGGAATATAACCTTTCAATTTCAATGACTGATTTAAATCAGGAATGTAATTCTCTCCAAATATGAATTGAATTTAAAGATTATGAAAAAGAGCAGTGATGAAGTTTCTTACTTTCACCTTATTATTACAAATAATAGGGCTAACTGCTCCAAAATGTATATGAGTATTCGGCAAGTTCATAATAATAACAATAATAAGACAAGTTAATATAATTATTTTAATCAGGTTAGCAACAACATTCAACATCTGAATAATCCATTATTAGAAATAAAACATTTGAATTTGCATATTTAATTTAGAGCAGAAAATGATTCTTTCAAAACAAATGAATTAAATTTAATAATGGTTAATAGTAGCTGCGATAAGGTTTCTTACCTTTGTATTTCATCATACTAATACAAATGGTACACTGCCAACTGCCCCAAAATATACATGATCACTGCAATTGGGCAAGTTAATCTGAAAACCATGAACATTACAAAACCTTTACACTTATTTACACAAATACTTCAACAAATTAACACAAACTCTTTCTGAAAATCCAATACAATCTATTACTATAGAGTTCTAACATATTTAGAGTATCATACAAAGACAACAAAATTCAAAATAAATTACTGATTAATTCATCTTATCAGAAGGGTCTACACCTTTTTTTCATACATACATTATTTTCTCACACAACATTAATGACGAATGAGACTAGAAGGAAAACAAACAGTCACAAATAAGAAACCTCCATTCGCAAACCAGTTGTAAACTTTAGCCCCTTCGTGCGAATACCTGTAGTCTTGCAAACTAGATCCACTAAAGGAGTTTTGTAAAAAGGCATATTTACCCTCTTATTGAGCCCTTATAAACCCTTTGGAACGATACTGGCAGTTCTTAACACACGTTTGATCCTCTCTTAACTCCCAAAACGAGAAGTTGAGGGAAAAAATTACTTTGTTACGGCGCTTGCTAAACTATTCGCATCATAACCCTATTTTACTGTTTTCAAATACGTACATAGAAAGTACTCGCGGAGCTGGGCGCTTACCTCATAGAGCAACAAAGAAAATCCTTTCCGATACTTTATCACGTCTCTCGTGCACACAGACGAATCTCCATATTCGCTTGTTTATGGCATCCGTATCATAACGATAGTGAGCCTCCTTCCACAGAACTTGCATCGGTCTTATCTCAGAACTATGAGTCCCTAGGTGGACCGTGAACGCTCTCTCTGCAGTGGCGACTCTTATAAACGAACGAGGCGCGTTGTTTGGATACAATGTAAAATGATTAATTTAATAATGATGAAAATTATTTTGAAACTACCCAGACTCTGTAGTTATGAATGAGGCTGTTGTGCAAGACCAAGAGGTTCTGAACTTGTATGCATTTATTTGTGTACAAAAATTGAAAATGTCGTTGACGTCATTTTTAACTGTTATTAACAATATTATTTTGATTTATTACTTCGCAGTCTTATGGAGGTAGCATGTCAATCATCCTCATAAGAAGGTTTGGTTGGCGCACCTTCACTTGAAGTGTTTTAACTAACCTAAAATTTTGGTAGCTAAACATAAATAAAAATACTTAAATGATCGTAATGTAATCTAAAAAGTGTAGTATCTATTGACACAAACAAACTTGTCAAACCTAAAGCGGTGTTGCATAATAAACTAACAAAGAAACTGTTGCCAACCAACTCCGGTTATCCTACTAACCCAGGAACTAGAATTGTCTTGTCCGACGCATCTCCATTTCAAATGTTTCAGATAGTCATCATACAAACTTTCAAAATCGCTGACCTATGAGCTAGTCAGATAACCTACGGCAGAGTCGCCAAGTGGATAAGAAAACTCGCCCACGATGTTCCATATTCATAGTGACTGCATATTATCATACGTGAAGAGAACCCTCTTACAGATATACCAGCGTGAGACGTGAATTCGGCTTGCGACGCTTCCAAACGAAAAGGGGTCACGACAACGCGAATAGGAAAGACTCGCGTCGAGTGTCAGAGAGCGAGCGGTGGGAGCAGGAGGCACGCGGCGGCTGTTGGGCTCTGGTTCACAAGCGTCGTGACGAATGCGGCGGGCGCGCCTCGGCGCCTCGGAGGCGAAACACGTGCCTTGAGGCGACGCGACGCCATTTCCTCTTCTCGTTCCCTGTCGGCGTCCCTCGCTCCTCCTCCGCATTCCGCCCGCCGCCTTTCTCGCCCTCCTCCCCGCCCATCATTTGCCTCTCTCTTTCCCATACGTGCTCCCGGTTCCCCGCTTCGACGCTTTAGCTCCACATTGCCCGCCACGCCGTTCCCGCCCTTCTTTGACCGAGTCGACTCTTCGTTTTCCGTTTTACACTTCCCAGCCCCCTCTTCTCTCACCACCCTTCCACTCCCCTGCTCTTCCCGCGCCGAACGTCCCCGCCAAGATTTTCCAGCCTCGCATTTCCGGCACCTCATTTCTCGTATTGCATTTTCCGTTCCTCATTTCTCATTCCGTATTCCCTGCTCCGCATTACCCGTACCGGGTTCTCGCTCACTGTTCCTCGCACAGCCTTTTCCAGATTCGCTTTATCCTGTAGGCGATTCTGTGGTAGAAGAGGAGAGACGTTCTGTGGGGCTTTCAAACCGACGAGTGGTGGCATGTTCCCTCGTGTGTCGCGCGGGATAATAAATGGATCCCGGAATACAGAAAAAGAGCAAAATGCTCCAGATATTTCATTCAGTCATTGTTACAAAGTGAAAATATGCTGTTTAAGACCTTCAAAATTAAATAAAACAAGGAACGTTTTACATATTGTAGGTTTGAACAAATATCAGTTCATTGCAATTAATGAAGACATTTTCTTGTTCAACTTTTGGTGTCACATTGATTGTTAGTGATGAAATGTAACAATTGAGACCCATTGTAAAATATTAATAAGTACATGCTGTTTATAATCTATTTTTCTCCCTGATACACTTCTATACCCACAGAGTATCATTACAACAACTAATATTTTAAATTTACGAACAAATATCTTTTAATATATTTATTTTCACGTACAAAAGTAATTCATGTTTAAACTCCTATGGTTTTTTCCATGATTTGGCGTACTGATGAAGTAGGTATATAAAATATACAACTGTAGTGTTGTATTTTAGGAGCATCTCGTAGTAAATTACTTGCACAGCATCAAGGACAGCTGTTTTTTCGAAAGAAAAATAGTCAGATTCCAATTAGCTGAGGAAGGTTTAAATCGCAAGTCTGCTGCGTAATGAAAATAATATAAATTTAACTAAAACGCAGAAGTAGTACAACTCTCCGTCGAGATAACGTCGTTCTAGGTACCTTACGACAGTAAAAAATGTTATGCAATGAAATAAAACCGCGAGAGATATGGAGAAACACAAGCGAGAGAAAAAGGAAAGAACAACAAAGAAAGAAAAGGATGTCCGTTAGCTTTGTAATACAAGCAAAACAGTAGTAATCTGTAGAATGTGTGGACAGCAGTTATTTGGTTCTAAAATATTATAAATAACAGTTTCGTATTGACGCTCTTTGGTTATATTTTCATTAGATGTTTAAAGAAGCGATATATAAAATAAATTCGGAATATGTAAATACGCATTGATGAAACAAACTGGCTAAAGTGACTCTTTTACTAGCACAATCATCAAGGCAGTAAAAATATTATTTACCCACATATACCCGCTTAAAATCATCTTCAAAAATCTCACGTATAATTCCCAACACATCACAGACACTCGTTAAAAAAACCCTGTTAGAAGCCCTTCCTCCCAAAACACATTCACATCCCAGACCTGGTTGTCTTCAAATTCCTTAAAGCTCCTTCATTGTTACTTCACCTACAACAGACTTGTACCCCTAACGATCCGAGAGAAGACAAGTATGACGATAATAGACGCGAGCAAAGCCGCCGGACCCGAGAATTTCCCTTTCCCAACTCCGCTACTTGCCTATAACTTCAATTGACCTGATAATTCAAATCCTTAACACCTATCTCAGCTTGGTAACTGTCTGCCCAGCTGCCCGTCCCAGCTGCACGCGTTTCCATATTCCCTAAACCTCTTAAGGATCATCGGCTTTCAACATGCATAAACCTCCTTCTCATTCTTGGAAAAATCTTCGAAAACCATATCCTCCTCAAACTTACACCACTTAGATCCCATTTTCCTTCCATTCCAATTTGATTCCGCAAGCGTCTCTCCGCGACCCTCCAATCCATTCACCTTGCAACATATGTATCCACCCCTTGCAAGATAGGAAAGAGTTCCTTACTGCATTCCTGACCTTACCCACGCCTTTGACACCGACTTCCGTTCGATCCTTTTCAAGAAAATCCGCCCCATACATTCACACACAACTACCGCTCCTACTCCAAACTCACCGACCTTTCCCTATTCTTCACATATTCAAAAATATAACAATTTACCCACACACACTGGCGTCTCCCAGGGCGCTGGGATATTCCCGATAATTTTCTCCGTGAACATCAACATCTTTTTCACCATATGTGCCAAATTCTTCCTCTGAGCCTAGCTTCCTACCATTTCCTTAAAAGTTCCTAGAAAGAAAGACATAAAGCCCATCACAATTTTCACCTCTGCTACACTGAAAATTCCGTAATAATTCCGCAATACAATAAATTTCAAATTGCATATTACAATACGCTATTCCAAATCCCAACCCATCATCTTCCCCTAAACAAAAGTTTCCAACAAATTCCTTTCCTCTCACAATATCTCAAACACCCATACCCCGAACATCTCTCATCAAGTACCCCGGCATACATTATTCCCCAAAACACCTACGGACCCACAACATTAAAAAAATCACATAAAATGCAACAAAATTGCTAACGCCCTATTTCAAATTTTCAACCGACTACTTCATTACATCTACCGACTGCGTTTAGCTTACAGCAAACTCTGTAGCGTCTCAGACCGTGTCATAAGGTGCAAGTTCCGACAGTGACAGGGGAATTATTTTGCATTAGCGACAGTGCTAGGTCGGCTTCAGTTGCTGTCTGGAGGAGAATTGTATCGTCTAGCTGCTGTAATCGGATTTTTACCGCGTGTTCTGCGATTAATATCAGGAGAATGATGGAGAAGTATTCTGACAAACGGGACACGGACCGCCGAGCTTTTTCCTTCCTCATTCTTGGCTCCTTTCTCCTTGCAAACAAACGAACACTTAGTAAATGCACCACTGAAATGTCGGGAGCTTACAGCTTGTCGGAGGCGAGACCTTGTTCGGAGTAGATACCTAGAAGCTTCCGCTTCATTACGAATCCTGCACAAACTCACCCTGCAATGACTCTCAACAATACTTCTCTACTTTAACAGCTTGCCTGTCGAGTCCTAACCTTCATTCTCTTCTTAGTCGTATTCTTCACCAGCCCCTGTCAACAATTGCTCAGGCATCCTAAACCAAAAAACAATTCATTCCCAATTAAAATAACTTATCATACCTACCACCCTGTTTGCAATCCCAGACAGTGTGGGGAACAGGAACATATTAACCTAATATATCAACATCAATAAATAAAAATAAATTTAAGAGTTTTAAGGTCGACATGCATTCCAAGAAAAACTAATCTGAGAAGCGAGGAAATAGCGCCAACAGTTTTGCAAGTACTAGTTAGTGTTAAAGAATGGCATTAGTAAACGTCAAGTAAAATGAATGTCTGCCCTCACACTACATTATTTCGAAACAGTGTGAGGAAATGCGCTTGCAATGCATAGAGCGCAGAGGAGGAGAAGCAAAGCGCGACGCGAGCCGCATTCAGGTGCAGACAGCGAGAGACCGACGCGACGGCTGCAGAGTAATGAGTTGGGTGGCAGCGGACACGGAATAGGGAAACGGGCGTGTGAGGTCGAGTAGCAGTTCTGAGAGGGAGAGAGTGACTATGGTAAAGGAAGCAACGGAAATGGCTATAGTAACGGTGGGAGTGGAGGAGATGGAAAAAAGGTTTGTGTTATGTGGCGGAACAGAGAAATTAGGAAATGCAAACTGTTAGAACGGGCAGGGAGTCAGATTGAGAGAGGATAGCTAAGCACTGAGTAGGAAAGCAAACACTTCTAGATGAGGGAAACAGATTCAGAATTGGGCTGGCATTTGATATCGCAGGAATCCATTAGCTTGGTGGTAAATGTCGGAATGTTGAATAGTAAAAGTAACGAGAAAAATACTGTAAAGCAGGAATTTGAATTAAATCAGAGTCATCTGCAAGAATGCAGAAATTTAATGACATCTGAAATGTGGGTTGAGTTAATGCAAATATAGACCAAATGTAAAGGAAAATATTAACAGCAAAAAAATAAAATAACAAGACAATTAGATCGCCTTTAATGTGACTCACAGTTAGAGATATGGTTGTCAATGATAGGAAGTGAGTAAGATTACAAGCATGGGCGCAATACCTGATTGGATACATAGAGAGTGCATAAACTGAGACATTCCCAGGGTGATTACCAGTACATGATTAGAGGAATGGGCAGAGACATTGGCAGATGCGTAGGTACAGATAGGAACGGAGTTGGGGATTAGGGTTGGTGCTGAGGCGGACTTCGAGGCAACGTTAATGGGTTGTGATGTTGGCGGCGGCGTCGGCGGCGGCGGCGGCTGGGGCGATGAGGTGGAGGTGGTGGGGGTGGCGCTGGCGGCTGCGGCTACACGGCGGTCGATAGGCCGAGCGAGGTCTTGTAATTGGCGGGCGAAGAACGAGGAACCACGCGTCGACAGAAAGCCTTAGCTTTTCCTTTTAATTACTCTAAGGCACGACGCGTTCGAGTTTGTTGAAACCATTAACTTTCGGATAGATGCTTCGTGTCAATCCAGGTGAACTAGTTAAAGACGAAGGCATCTGTTTCAAAACATACACGAATATCCGAGATCGAAAAAGTCTCTTGAAAATGTTCTTTCACCAGACGGTTGTTAAAGTTTAATTATTCAACCCAAAAAGTAAAGATTTTTCATATTTTTCTTATCACAATGTCGTTATATTAATAGATTAATAATTCTTCCCTTCATACTTTGTATTGGCAACTAACTACTAATAAGACCCGCCTCGTCAAAACTCTTCCCGAGAATGCCGTAGGTGCGTTGCATAGCATACACTTACAAATAATGATTTAAACAGACTTCCCAATATATGCAGACTTGCAACGAACTGACCTTTGCAAAATACTGGAAATCCAGTTTTCAGCCAACCAAGAAAGATTATTCGTGTTGTTTCTATTTCACATCATTACTGCAAAACAGTAGACATTTGAAGAAATAGTATTTGATAATAAAGAAAAAGTTTTAATTTTGTTTCCTAGAAATAATAGTGAAATTTTAGAAGTTTGCCACACGAACGAAAATGCGGAAAGAATGAAAAGGAAACCTAAGGCTACAACAAATATCAAAACTAGACAAGGATATTCAAGAAAAGTAAGATGCAATTATGTAAACA